ATATATCAGTTCATGAAATTTTATCCCTGCTAGATACCCCACGATCAACTGTAAGTGGTATTATTGGAAAGTGATAGAGTTTAGGAACAGTAGCAACTCGAAGCAGTATACCATATAAAGTCAAAACAGGGTCACTGAGTGCTGAGGAGCATAGTGAGCAAAAGTCGCCAAACACTCTGAATGAATCCATAGCTAAAGAGATCCAAACTTCCACTGGTGTTAATATCGCCACAAAAAGTGTGCAGTGGGAACTTTATGGAATGGGTTTCCATGCATGAGCAACTGCACGCAAGCATCACATCACCAAGTACAATGCCAAGCATCAAATGGAGTGGCGTGAAGAATCATGGAGTGAAGAATCATGCTTCTCTGTTTGGCAGTCTGATGGGCGAGTTTGGGTTTGGAGGATGCCAGGAGAATGTAACCTGCCTGACTGCATTTTGCCAACTGTAAAGTTTGGTGGAGTAGGGAAAATGGTATGGGACTGTACCCCAGTGCGCAAATCAAGGTCCATAAAGAGATGATTAAATGAGTTTGGTGTGGAAGAATTTGACTGGCCTGCTCAGAGCCCTGACCCCAACACCACTGAACAACTTTAGGATAAACTGGAAGATTGTGAGCTAGGTCTTTTTGTCCAACATTGGTGTCTGACCTCACAAATGCTCTACTGGACGAATGGGCAAGAATTCCCACAGAAACACTCCAAGATTTTATGGAAAGCCTTCCTAGAAGAGTGGAAGCCATTATAGCTGCAAAGGGGGAGCAACTCCATATTAATGTCTCTGTATTTGGATGTATGTATTTATGTCAGGTGTCCCAATACTTTTGTCCATAAAGTGTATCTGCTAATGGGGAATTTGATTATCTACTAATATCCCAATAAAGACCATTCAAATGCTTACTGAATAGTAAATAAAATGTGACACATGATTATGTGAATTTCTCTAGCAAAACACACATTCAACTACTTGAGATGTTCATTTAGATTTTATGCCCACTGATTTTCTCCAACACAAAGACCTCTTTGTGTGACTTCATTGAAAATCACTGCAGTGTTCCAGTGGCAAAACAGTCTTGGTCACACATAAAGAAAAGCACTTGAATTTTAGCAAGTCTTTTTTGCTTATTTACCTGTTTTGAGAACATTTTCTGTTAATATTCTTTTCATTTTGAAGCGCATGTTGAATCTGAATGTACACATTTAGCTATTATCTGTATAGTATAGCATTCTCAATAGCTCTTCTAGGTGAAACTGCAGTAACAGTACTTGGATACAGTAAAAACTGGCCATTTAGATGGTTGATTAATGAATGATTTATGAGAATGCTGCTTCAGGATATGAATCCGCAGTGCACCGCATGATTGCCAGTTGTCGTGGGTGTGAGTAAGCGTAACCTCTTGCACAAAGACAGACATCTCATTGTAAAAATGGTAATGTCAGCCGTTTTTAATAACCCCTCAATCAAATGTTTGTCAAAGCAGAACCAAATTCTCGTAGTACAAGGTATTGATGCTTTCACCATCACTAGGGGTTCCTGGGTGTCTTTTAGGCCTTGTTCACACTGGCAGCCCAAATTGTGTGTTTTTTTAAAGCCCAAATGCCATGATGTATATAAGCCTCCTTACAGATAGTTTGCTGCATCTGGTTGGGAAAATGACAGTGATTGAATTAAATTTGTTTCTTGGACAGTCTTTCTTAAATACATTGGATTTGAACAACAATTGTCTGCAGTGTGAACATAAGATGTTTCTATAGCTTTTGTTTGTCAGTTTAGAGGGCTGATGGTTTTAGATCAATGTGATTTTT